TAATTTAGACAGTATCACCACACAATTTTTATTTGTATACAGGCTTGTTCATTTGGTAACTCATTGAAAACTAGATACCAGTGAATAGTTAGAACGTCTCAACTGCTGACGCCTACACACTCACACATATATTAACACACACACACCCATGCAGCTAGATAGTGTCTCAGTAAACTTTATGAACTGAGTTGTGCATATATATGCGTCTCCAATAGTAGAACTGTAGTGCACGTTACTTATAAGTAGTATATGACGCGTGTGTGAACGTAATGCCTGGCATCAGAAGATGGGTGAACATAAAGACAGTAAGAGTGGGAAAACAATGGAATTTGTATAAAACGCATGAATATTGAAATAAATATGAGACAATGGATTGAAGATTTGCAAATTAACAGCTTAACGATATGGTTTTCCTAATTTACTGAGTAACTCTGTAATTTTCGTTAAATAGAATTCGGTTGTCTTCACCTGTGTTCTCCTTCACTACAGAACGACACATCTATCAAGTACATATCGGCTATAATTGCTTATTTCACTGCGTAAAGTAAACTGATTCTTAAATAATTTCGACTCCAATAAATCTACTATCTAAACTACTTCAATTGTTGACAATGTTCTCTTATTTTTTTATAAGTGAACTATAAAAATAATCACGACAACAAGATAAACAGTTCAACAACAAAATCACTTCCTTTTATAACATTATTTATCTAAAAAAATGTTGACAAATCATTGGAAAAAAAAGATTTCAGTTTTTTAAATTTCAGTCTTCCTTATCACAAGTTACAATATTTTCTAAGTTTAACATAAAACATCAAATAAATAATTATTGTTCATCCGTCCTCCATTTGCGAATTTCTAGTGTAATCCACCATGACTATTTTCTCAAGTACACCGTAGTGTCGCAGACGTTTTCTTAGTGTCACCCTGTCCAATTCATTAAAAGCTTTTGCGTTGTCAAGCAATTTCATATTTAGTTGTGAGTTCCATCTAACTGAGTGTTCAACTATGATCTTTACTGTCGTGAATTGTATTGGTACATGATCGGTCCTTGTGGAAATGGGCCTGCCGACCTGAAAGTTGGCAGTTGGTAGGAACTTAAATTCTGTTCATCCACACACTACTTAAGACTTTTATTGAGACTGATTGTAGAGTGATTCCTATTTAGTTCCCCCACTAGTTAAGATTTACTATCTTTGTTATCTTGATGAGAAATTGTTCTTTTCACGCTGTCCATGGTTGTTGTTCCTCCCAAATCTTACTAAACAGCATGTGAACATCTTTACAGCTACTGTTAAACCTGCTTTTATTACCTCAGCTCTTATATTGTCTTGTTCTTTCTAGGTACTACGTTTTATTTACAGAATGAAAATCACATCACAGATCGGATGAAACACGTTCTGAATTCAAACTGTAATTTACATCTGTCTATTCAACATCGTAGTAAACCATTGTTTTTGTTTCCACTTTAGATGCTAGAAATTATTACACATTTTCGAAATATTAAAATTGAACTTGTAGTAATTAATGACTTAATTTGGGCGAATTATACTTTAGACAGTATCAAACACAATTTTCATTTGCATACAGGCTTGTTCATTTTGGTAACTCATTGAAAACTGGACAACAGTCAGTAGTCATTACTCGCATAGTTAGAATGTCTCAACTGCTGAATCCTAAACACTCAAACATAAATAAACACGTACAGATACACACCCATACTGCATTTAGAGGTTTTGAATTTCAACCAGAATTTAAAGCAAAGATAGATAGTGTCTCCGTAAACTTCATGAACTGAGTTGTGCATATGTGTGCATCGCCAATAGTAGAACAACACATTTATCAAGTACTTATTGACTATAATTGCTTTTTTCAGTGTATTGTCAAATGATTCTTAAATAACTTTGACTCCACAAATCTGCTGTGGTGTGAGCTACTTATAAGTAGTATATGATGAGAGTGTCAACGTAATGTCTGTCAGCAGAAGATGGGTGAAAATCAAGACAGGAAGAGTTAGAAAACAATACAATTAGTATGAAAGGCATGAATAGTGACAATGGGTCGATGTTTTGCAACAGGAACAGTCCATTTCTTTATGATTGACTGATATTTTGCAAATTAACGATATGATTTTCCTATTTTTACTGAGTAACTCTGTGATTTTCGTTAAATAGAATTCGGTTGCCCTCACCTGTGTTCTCGTTCACTACAATACTACTTAAAATATTTCAATTGTTGACAATGTTCTCTTATTTTTTTATAAGTGAACTATAAAAATAATCACGACAACAAGATAATCAGTTCAACAACAAAATCACTTCCTTTTTACAATATTCATCTACAAAATGGTCACAAATAATTGGAAAAAAGAGATTTCAGTTTAAAAATTATCAGTCTTCCTTATCACAAATTACAATATTTTCTAAGTTTAACATAAAATATCAAATAAATAATGATTGTCAAAATTGGTACTAAACAAAACACCAAATGATACAATTCATTTCTAATCATCAAATAATTCATATCTAATGTGACATGAACAAATACCATCATGGATTTTTCAATATTGCGCCAAAATTTCAATGTGACAATGATGAAACTGTCAACAAGATAAATGAGAGTGGTTAAATGATCAATCATGTTATTCAATCTGTGAAATTGATACATTGATGGAATAATGTGAAGTAAAGTATCATCCTGAGTTATTTTCCTGGGGGTTTTAAATCGTTTCGAAATTGATTTTAGACAAATTTTTGATAGAATTATGACAAAAAATACAAACGCACATAAATGTGGCAACAGGAATGAGAATGTGGGATCGAAATAAATGAGAAATGTATAATAAAATTTGAAATATTCCGATCGAACATTACATGTGAATGTTTCAATAAAACTGATATTGTATGTTTCACCGATTTGTGAATCCACTGAATTAATCCAATGAAATTGTCCAAAAACCCATAGATAATTACATAATGCGGCGAATATTATCGCAATAAATAGGCATGTACTAATTTTTATACATAATGTATGCGGTTTCCATCGTGTCGATTCATTTAACAGTGTTGTTGGCGGCTGGGAACTACGATTTAATAATCCATGATGATGATGATGATGATGATTATGCAGTAAAACACTACAAATTCGTTCAACACCAAATATAAACAAACTCCATTCTTCAAATAACAGGAAGAATGTACCAAACATACGTTTCAGACGACAATTAATGTTTAGTTTAAATTTCATACTGAAACCAAAATGAATAATGAGTAGATTTGAAATCCATGGTAAGAAATCTTCAAAAATTAAATAACCAATTTGAGCAAATGCTAAAATTTCTATAAGAAAACATAGAATATACCATGTGGTTTGTTCAATATTGAGAGAATTTTGTATTTGTTCTTTAGGAAATTGTGATAGAGAATTAGGATGATAATAATGTGTTCTAGTAATGGGTTGTGGCAATTTCTCTGCATAATTTGATGATTGTTCACTTGTATCTGGTATCATTAATAGTAGTTTACGTTCATATTTAATTTCAGATAAATCTAAATTGATTTTTGAAAGATTTGATGTAGTGTTGCGGTTTACTGGGATCTCTTCTATAACATAATCATCATCAGTATTATTTTGATGGAGTGATAAATTATTGTCTAACTCAATAGTTTTTAATGTTGGATTGATTTCTGTTGCAGTTGGGAAACAAGGACTATGACATTGAGTTATGTAATAACAACAACCCCAATTCATTTCAAACTCACAACAGGAATGTGTCGAGTTGGATTGAACAATGTACTGCTTAGCATCATTTGAAATGGTACAACATTTTGATAAGAAAATAGATTGAAGTAAATGTTTTTTCGGAAGAGATTTATCATCATTGGTTCTTATTATTTCAGCTGAACAAACAGAGTAGATTGTAGAATAATGACAATTGAATGGTTTTAATAAAAATTCTTCGATGCCTTAGTTAATTTTTACAATTGAAAAGCACAATAACCTAACGATATACGATGTCAGCTAACATTTCAGTAATGGACTACATGTTGTACAGGGTTTGAACCACAAAAAGTGTTCATTTTTTGTCTCTAGACTTTGTCATCAGTTTTAAAATAGTAATCCTATATTATATGATACTCTGATTGTGTTGGAGACGTTAGATTCCTAGAACTCACTTGATAAAGGTTCTACTTTTGGATTTGTTTTTTAGGTTTTTGCGTATAAGTTGCTTAGTTGACCTTCAGCTTACATTTCTCTGTCATTGACTGATGGATTATTTTAATAGGCTATTTTCATGGCCCTTTCAAGGACGTTTCTGTCTTGTATAAATAAGTTTGATTTGTGCGTTATTATTCTCGTATTATCCGGATGCATCTAGGAATACACTTTCTACTGCCTGATCAAAACGTCATGATATAGTTAACGGGGCCTGGGACAATCGGATTAAAATAGCTTACTGTGTCACTGGATCATTTGTCTTCGCTCTCTTTACCGAGTAAGGTGAAATTGTAATAGTTCAAGCATATCAGATTTAAATCCGGAATGATTGGGAACTAAGCTTTGTTTTTTAAGTAGGAAGCGATTGATTCTTTCTTGTAAAATGGTAATAACATCAACAACAACATATTACTAACATCATTCGGCCCATTTTGATTGCAAATGATGATAGATTTTCGTTTTCTACTTTACCGGCTTATTGTAGCGTGTCACGGAACACGGAAGGTGATATTAAGTGACCAGGGTCCCTGTTTTGAAAGTGACGAGTTTAAAGCCCGTCTAAAGCAGTTTGGCGTCAAGAGGATACGAACTACACCGTATAATCCGCAGATAAACGGGCTTACGGAGACAAGACAAGCAGAAGCGCGTAAATGCTAGTCATTTGCAGAGATGGTTTCAAGATTATCAAGTGTATGAGTCACGAAAAGCACCAAAGATGACAACGGTACGGGAATCAACAAGACTACGACGACAGCTTATTAAAAGGGTGGACGAGTGTGGTGCTCGCTACTAATAAGTAGTATATGACGTGAGCGTAAACGTAATGTCTGGCAGCGGAAGATGAGGGAACATCATGAAAGGAAGAGTGGGAACACAATGGAATTTGTATGAAACGCATGAATAGTGAAATGTCAGACAATGGATTGAAGATTTGCAAATTAACGATTTACAATATGGCTTTCCTATTTTATTGAATAACTCTGTAATTTTCGTTAAATACAATTCGGTTGCCCTCACCTGTGTTCTCCTTCACTACAACAACATCAACAACAACACATTACTAACATCATTCGGCCCATTTTGATTGAAAATGATGATAAATTTTCGTTTTCTACTTTGCCTAGTACTCGTAATGTAGTGTTTTGAGTAAATACTATTGTAGTGAACGAGAACATAGGTGAGGGCAACCGAATTGTATTTAACGAAAATTACAGAGTTACTCAGTAAAATCGGAAAACCATATCGTAAATCGTTAATTCGCAAAATATCACTCCACCATATCGCACTGGCCTGTTCCTGTTGCAAAACATCAATCCATTGTCACTATTCATGCGTTTCATACAAATTCCATTGTGTTCTTCTAACTCTTCCTTTCTTGATCTTCCCCCATCTTCTGCAGCCAGACATTACGTTGACACTCACGTCATATACTACTTATAAGTAGCTCGCACCCCACTATGAGTAACACTCGAACTGTTGAAAGTATTCATGTTCAATAATCATAGCATGAAAATAATGTCTCGTCCGTCCGCACAAATTCCAACTTTACATTCTAAATTGTCTTATTCATATTATGGCTGTGTGAAGATGTTTATACATTGCATGTATACGTTTGGTATCTTTAATTACTTAAGCCTGAAGTGCTTGACACTACTAAGTATAGTCATTAGAACAGAAGAATATCTAGAAAGTCAGCTCATCGCAACAAATCTAACTTCAATCATGATTATTTTATGATATGATTTAGTCATGTGCTGTGAATTATCCTAATGAAGACCATGGAATGCTTGTATGACGACACGAATACTGAAAATAACAATGACAACTAGCTATGAATTATCATGTAAATAGAATTAGCTAGGTGAAGCAATCGTATTTATCTCATCTATATAATAAATAATGTTATCAGAGTTATCAGTTGAAGTGAAATTAGAAGTAACTAGATAAATTGTATGAGGATATTTATGGTTATTCAAGAGAATTTTCTTTCACAACAAAGTTATGAAGAATGCGAAACAGGGTCGATGTCAACGATAGATATGAAGTTAATACATATCTCTCATAAGTTGTGGTTCGTTGAATAGCTTTCCAACTCATAAAAGTTGAAAATATCAATGTCTTGACAGATTCAGAAAACAATTCACTAACGATTCAGGGAGCAGAGGGCGAAGGTGGTGGTGTTGGGGACTCTACTAAGAGGCAGGGCGAGAGCGGTGTACGATGGTGTGGAGGACGCTGACTGGGAGGTGGTGACGGAAAGGCTGCTGGTGGAGTTCGACAGCCCGGCGGATAGGCAGGACGCGCTGCAGAAGTTCCGAGATTTGAGACTGACGGTGGATGGCGATCCAGTCGTGCTGGCTGTATAGTCGACAAGATTGCTGCGCCGGGGTCTGCCGAATTCGGATGAGGAGTCACAAGCACAGCTGCTAGCGTCTCAATTCATTGAAAGTGTGCCTGCAGAGGTTGCCCAACAGTTGAGACTGGTGAACACCGCACAACCAATGGACGTCACCGAGCTGTCAAAAGTAACGAGACAGCTGATGAACTCAACAGTCGCCTCGGTGGCGTGTGAAAGACAGGCAGATGATGTCGCAAAGAAGATAGAAGAGTTACAACGCGAGGGCGGAAGAAATAACAAATGCTATAATTGCGGAGGAACCGGGAATCGGAAGAGGAATCGCCCAACAAAACGAAAACATTACATTGAACACTCTATTTGCACACCATCTCTTTGAGTCGTGACTTCCAACACTCCATCCTTCTTCCATTCCTGCTGTTGCTTCCTTTACTTCCTGTCGGTACTCCATTTACTTCTTGCTTTTGCTCCATTTGCTTTCGGTTTTCCTCTTCTGACCGTGGTGAGACTTCTTCTTTCACGTCCGTTCTTATACTACTTATATCGTTCGTATAAGTTGCACACACCAAAATACTTCCTGAAACATATCTTCGACCCATAATCTTTTTTGATTACTGCTATGATTGGATTGGAATTGTCAATTTCATCTCTCCGTACTAATATGATATGGCAACATGAACTGACGTACGTATGTACCAAGATCTACGTTGTACTGGTCAGCACAGATTAGAAACAAGTTAAGTCCAACCTGGAACTATCTCCATGAATCAATTTTAGTGATGATAAGTGAATTAGAATGCTTTCTTATTTTAAATATAACAATGTAACGTCAATCACAAACAAATTCATTTTTTTATATTCTGACAATGAAATTCATATTACATAAATTCTGAGCAATTATGCTCGTCTCTAGGTACGCTTAAAACTTTTACGGGTTCACCTTAGTCGAATAACGAGAACAAAACAATGAACCACCGTCCAGGTGGGCTACTGTGATCTCTTGACCGAAACAAAGTTTAATATTTAGGAAAGAAATAAAATCGGCTTAATTTAGATGACAATAACTAACAGAATACAGTAAGATGGTGGAGAAAATTTGTAGCTCAGGTGGATGATAGCAGTCAGATAGACTTCCGTCTGAAGTTTGTGCTGATGACGAGGTTATTCAGAAGAAGAACAATGAAAGCTCAGAGAACCAAACACCACCAGAATACAGTCAACAAGAAGTTTTAGGTGAGATTAGTGTGGACATATTGGACTTTGGATTCGTCACAGTAAGAGCAAATTGAGATGCATGAAAACACTGGTTGAAATTCAGCTGAATTACGGGTTGGGCCAGGTAGGCCATCACATCTCCATCCTCGAACTCCTTCGGCCATGGTATCTTCATCCTGGCAGCGACACCAAATGTTGTGTATGAAAACTCAGATGAGGACAAAAATAATATATATTTTCAAGCGAATATTACAGAGTTGTTAGGCATATGTACAAAACCTTCCCGTGAAACCTTCATCATTTACGAACTAATCCTTATTTGTTTCAGATTTCAGTGTTCTTTCATTTAGACTGACTGTTCAGACTTCAGTTCACTTTACCCTTACCTACAAATCGCCTTCCAGTTTCATTCTTTCCTTCTCGATCTTTTGCTGTCAGACATTTGATATCATATACTACTTATGTGAAAATAAGTAGCATACACCACAGTAGTATTTTATTTCCTATATGTTAAAAAGCAAGTTATTCTTGATTACAAATCATAAATCACTAAACATAACATTAAAATGTATTGTTGTACAAAGCATAACCAAAAATTCACATTCAGTACTTACTGTCATATTTTTGTGATGAATTGTCACCTACACGGATTCGAATGAGATTTTTTGTTAGAAATACAATCAATAATAGGATAACATTTGATAGAATTCCAAATATTAGCAGGATTAATAGAAATTTAGGTCGTTCTTCATTCCATAGTGGAGTGATAGTTTTCAATTCAGTTAGACTTTCATTCATCACGTCTGTTTGTTGCTGTTGATTGTTAGTTCAGAAGTAGGACAATATGAAGTAGTAACATGGACAGAGCTTCTAAAATACAAGAAAATAAACGGAAGAAATCAGTGACGTTGAGAAACAAAATGAAGTAGTCAATCAGTCAGTCAGTCAGATGAAACGTAGAACTTTGTACGTAAGTACATCAGTTCATGTTGCCATACCACATCAGCATAGAGATATAATTGTCAATTCAAAGCAAATAGTAGAAGAGGTAGTAAAGGTATTAGAAGTAATCGGAGAGGTTAGGATTAGAAGATATTATTCAAGAAGTATGATTCAGTGAGAAAGGTTTAGAAAATCAAAACTAGAGGTGTTGAAGAATCTAGGAGATTAGGATTTGAGAGAACACAAAGAATAAATGCACCGGCGCCATTGCAGACGGTTTTGAGCCATGTCATTCAAGGTATCTAACCATCGATTATTATCATCTCGCGGACCCCAACCAGGTGGTAGTCAACAATTACCGACATGTCTAAGTCCACTAGTCAGTGACTTCATGGATTTCTGCCATGTTTTGGTTTGGCCACCCATAGCTTTCTTCCAACCTGTTCCTACACTACAAAACAAAGCTCGTCGAGGCAGTCAGTGGTTAGGCCTACGCAACACATGTCTCAACCACCTCAATTGATGAAGTTTCACCACTTCATCTATTGATCTGCCATTCTTACCTAGTACCCGTTTCCTAATAACAGCGTTGCTCACACAGGTGTCCCACCATATACGAGCAATGCTTCGAAGACACCTATCATCGAAAAACAATAACCGACGAATATCTTCTACTCTCACTGGACATGTTTCACAAACATAAAGTAGGACGGAGCAAACTACTGCTCAGTACACTCGTCCTTTAGTCAGCAAACGGATATCACACCTACGCCATAAGTGACGCAGGATGGCAAAAGCTAATCGAGCCTTCTGTATCCGAGCTGAGATTTCGTCAGCCACTAGGCCATCAGCACTGATGAGACTCCCAAGATAAGTGAAGTGGTCTACACGTTCGACTACTTCACTCCCTATCACTAGTTCAGGTGCCGATGCAACCCAATCTTGAAGCAACATTTTGCATTTCGAGGGGGAAAACCGCATCCCGAACATGCTCGCATTGTTGCTTACGGTAGTGAGAAGACTCTGCATTTTATTAGCGCCTTTACCAAGTAGAACTATGTCATCGGCATATTCTAAGTCAATAAGCGAGCCACCTGGTAAAAGGTCTACTCCTGAAAATTCAGATGAGGATAAGGTTATTTCTAGGAGCATGTCTATGATAAAACTAAACAAGAATGGAGAGATTGGACAGTCCTGACGTACACCACTTGAAGTAAAGAATGCCGGTGACACTCGACCAGTGGTGTTCGAGTAGAGAGCTTGTATGGAGTTAATGTACTTATTTGGTACACCTTTCAGTTACAGACCCTGCCACAGAACCTCACGGTCCACTGAGTCAAATGCCGCTTTAAGGTCCAGGAAGAAAACTATTGTCGGACGTCTAAATGTGTGTCTATGTTCCAGGACCTTTCTTAGTGTGAAGATGTGGTCTATACAACCACGTCCAGGTCAAAATGACGTAAATATAAGTTACACATCGGAAATCATGAATCACTCAACGAAAAACAATTAATTACAAAACTAAGGATAGCATTAGTCAAGTCAACCAACGCTTAATACTGAAAGTAAAAAAAATTCTTTCTTTCGAATAAGTCTAATTACTTGGAAGGCGTACGTACTTCAGAAAAGCTGATTTACAGATAGATAGATGTAAAATAAAGAATATGGCTAACATCAAATTAAACTCCATTCTAGTAATTGATACCTAGTGAACAGCAGAGTTCAACCCTTTTCGGAGGTGAAGCAATGTTCACTGAAGGACAGTGTATGAGGTTGCGCAAGACCTTGAATTGATCGAAGTTAGACATTACTACACCGATTTAGTGGTTTCAGAGGTTAGGCGTTAGCGCGCAAGATTAAAAAGATCCTCGGTTCTAATCATGTAAAGTGAGGAAGGAGTCGTGGACGATGAAACCGCCATCTAGTGCTTCCAGGTTTCTAATCGTGATCTAACATTTATCGATTCACGATTTCAAAAAAAGTAACTCAACCACCTCCACAAACCCATCAGGCAATAATAAAATATGAATGACTCCCAATTGTGAAAATTAGAACAACACAGATATAAGCGAACAATAGTGTTGTTTTCGATTAGATCGTCTATCAGGCTTTACTCTCTAATATATACATGAATATTTATACGAAAATGTTTAATCAATCAAGGCAGTTTGAGTCAATAATCACAATGAAATGAAATAGAGATTACGTCACTACACACATAATAGGGGGCAAAAGTACAAGTGGATAGTAGGAAGACAGGTGTACTGATAGTAGATGTAAGAAAAATAAAATACGATAACAAAAGTTTTGGGGCACAGTTTTCGAGGTTTGCGTTTTTTACACATTTGAAATCATCAATCAATCATTGTTAGACCACCATTAGAAACCTGGGAGCACTGGACGGCCGTTTCGTCCTGGTAGTGCGCATCCACGACTCCTCCTCCTCACAGGATTCTAACCCGGGACCTTCGGCATTGTAGGCGAACGCCTTACTATCAGACCACTGGGCTGGCGAAAACTCCTAGATCAATTAGAGTTAAACATTAACACCTCTGGACCCGGCCCAGTGGTTCGATGGTAAGGCGTTCCCCTACAATGCCGAATGTCCCGGGTTCGAATCCCGCGAGGAGCAGGAGTCGAGGATGCGCACTACCAGGACGAAACGGTCGTCCATCACTTCCAGGTTTCTAAAAGTAGTCTAATAATGATTGGTTGATGATCTCAAATGTGTTATAAACGTTTTATCGATAGTAGGTCAAACGTGGATGAATAGACAGACAATAATCATTACAAAACATTCAAATCATTACATAATAAATATTCATGTATATTAGAGAGAGAGAGAGTAAAGCCTGATGACGATCTAATCGAAAACAATAATATTGTTCGCTTATTATCTGTGTTGTTCTAATAATAAAATAAACTCAGAAATTAGATTTCAAATTATTTGGTTTTCTCAATTATCTCAGTTTTGCAGGAGTATAAAATGCTTGAAAAAATGACCACATTCTTTCAACGAACCAACTGTTTCACATTTTTTGAAACCATGAATCGATCAATGTTAGATCACCATTAGAAACCTCGAAGCACTGGACGGCCATCTCGTCCTAGTATGGGACACCTCAGCAGTGCGCATCCACGACTCCTGCACCCCGCAGGATTCGAACCCACGACCTTCGGTATTGTACTCGGACCCCCTAACCGTTAGACCACTGAGCCGATATCTAACGGTGTTAATGTCTAACTAACGGCCATCCAGTGCCTCCAGGTCTCTAATGGTGGTCTAACATTGATTGATTCATGGTTTCAAAAAATGTGTAACTTAACAATCTTCACTACAACCCCGTAATGCTAATCAACTGTTTACAAATGAATTTCTATTTTCTCTATAACAATAGGCAATTTTTTAAATCGAGAATCGATCTATACCTAGTAATAATAATAAAACGTTGAAAATTCACATTGTTCTACTATTTACCTGCATAAAAAATAAAAGTTTTATTATTATGGATTTTTTTGTTTACCGAGCTAGGCTACTTAAACACTTTCTGACAACCTCGTTGATCAAATTTAAGAAAAGCAGTGTACACAAGTGATCAATAAAATCGTTTTTTTGGCCTTATACGTATTTATCTGGTTTAAAAGTTGAAAAATTAGGATTAGATTTCGTCATATTACTATTATGCTTCGTTCATTATGTTATAAACTATATATATATATTACTGAATTATTTATGCCTGTTCCCCACAATGGAGCATTGGCCGCCAACCAGTTTTCGCCAACCAACTCTGTCCTGGGCTTCACTCTCCAGTTCTGTCCAATTTTTGTTCATTCTTCTCATATCTTTCTTTATTTCTCGGCGTAATGTGTTCCTTGGCCTTCCTCTTTTCCTTTTGCCTTGAGGGTTCCATGTGAGGGATTGTCTCGTGACGCAGTTAGGTGCATTCCGCAGTGTGTGTCCTATCCACTTCCACCTATTCTTGCTGATTTCCTCCTCCACTGGACTCTGGTTTGTTCTCTCCAACAGTACGTTGTTGCTGATGGTGTCTGGCCAACGAATCCTTAGTTTCTTGTGTAGACAACTGTTAATAAACACTTGTATCTTCTGGATGATGCCTTTAGTAGTTCTCCAAGTTTCCTCTCCATACAGTAGAACTGTCTTGACATTTGTATTGAAAATCCTGATTTTAGTTTTGGTTGAAAGTTGTTTGGAGTTCCAGATATCTTTCAACTGTAGAAATGCAGCCCTTGCTTTGCCGATCCGTGCCCTCACATCTGTATCCGATCCACCTTCGTTGTCGATGATGCTGCCCAGATATGTAAAGTTGTTAACATCCTCCAAGGCATCTCCATCAAGCGTGATTTGGTTGGTGCATGTTGTGTTCATCGGAGAATTTCGCGTTTTCCTTTATGTATGTTGAGACCTACTGCTGCAGAGACTGCTGCTACACTGGTCATCTTCTCTTGCATTTGTTGTTGCGTGTGCGATAGAAGAGCCATAAAATACAAATGGTAACATTTAAAAGTGGTATAGCGACCTCCGATGGGTGACTATGGCATCATTTCAGTAAGGTTATATGTGCATATGCATTACACATGCTGTCGGTTTCGAAATCGTACATCATAAACTGATCGATTAAAAATCTCATTTGTGATCTTTATTAATTCTTCATCATTTGGACAATTGAAATTTATTTTAAACAGAATAATTTCAATTGATTTACTATAAAATGAGTTGAGATTATTGTGAGTTTATGTTTTTAAAATATCTATTTTATGAAGTTATTAAACAGCCGACTGTGGAATGTCGGTAAAACAAGTTGCCTTGTCCTTTTTACGCTTATTTGAATATACAAATTTCCAACCAGAAA